TTGCGCAAACATTTTTTAGTATGTCCAAACTTGCGCGCGGCACACCTTAACAGATGAGGACAAGAAATATAATTTTTTATATAAAGATTCAAGACTTCAAAATCGTTAACGGTATCAATTTAATAATGTTTTTATAATTTATTTGTGTATAATAAATACAATTCTTAATAACAATTAATTATAAAATAGAACGAAAATCACATAAACATTCGAATTAATCGCAATTGAAACAAGATTAGGTTTCTTATTTCAATTGCGATTTATTCACAACTAGAGATGCAATGAATATTGGGATACAAATCAAGCATCCGACAAGTTCGGGCGTTTCATTTCTAGTTCCTAACATGATATCGAATATTTAGTTGAACAAAATTTAAAAACACAAATCCAGTGTTTATAATTTCAAGTCTTAATAGTTATTTACGTATTAAGGTGTTAAAGCCATTCGTTTTTTAACAACATAGCTTGTTGTTAAGCTATTGGAAAAGTTACCATAAAAATATTAACAATATCTACTATTAAAAACCATAAAATGATTAATGAAATCAAGTTAAATAAAATGTAATCATTAGAAAAAACATTTATTTTAAAGTTAAAAGTGGGATTTTGTTGTCTATATCCGATGGTGTCTAAATACTTATACTAATTTTAATGGAAACTACTTCCATCCGTTTATTCTGTTCAAAAGCTTCCAGGTGTGAGTTTAAAACATGAAGTCTCAGTGACAATTTGCAACTCATTTTTGGTATAAGTTTTGATTCACAAATGATTTCACAAACTGTTTCATTAAGCCATGTTGAAACTACTTCTATTACTCCACATGATTACTACACATGGAATCTCAAACTTTCTACAATATCTAATCTACAATATGTGTTTTCAAAACATTTTGCGGCGAACCTGAAGAATGCCGCCTTTCAGTTGGGTTGTCCAATTGGTCCCCACTTTAGATAAATGTCAAAAAATATCTATTTTGTTCTAATTCTTAATACAATCGGAAATGATGTGTGGTACATATTTGTAGCTATAGTTTATGAATTTTTAAGAAACAATAAAACCGAGGACTGTTCTAAGAAGTTGATCAAATACTATCAAAAAAATTTGAATCTGCTTTAAACTCGTAATTGGAAGCTTTTAACTGAAGAAGTGGGGTAAACATGTCCATAAGGATATAAAAGAATACGAAGTCAACCCTAAAATCATTTTTGTTTTCAGCTTATTAAGAATGAGTTTTGCTGTATTGGTAAAAAGTTGCAGTTTAATGGCAATATCAAAAACCTTTCAGGGAAACAATATTAGTAGCAACATTTTTGTTGAATCGTGCAGGAAACACAAAAAGATAAAAACGGAAAAGTAAGTTTTAGTGATGGTTTGATAGTTTTGGTGATAAAACATAGCAAAGAAAAAATTATGCAATCTGAAAGCCACTTTTTCACAAAATTGCTATTAATGAACATCCTTGTAGTGTTCGTAGCTTCAGAAAAAAAAATTCGTTGCAAACTGTAACCTTTCAGAGTCCTTGTCAAAACTTGTAGAGGTACAATTTCATCAACTTATATCGATCTAACAAATAATAATTTGTTGAAAACATACGTGTAATAGAGGTTCACCTAAAACAATAATAAAAGCTTAAATGCAATCCTGACAACAATAACGACTTAGGAAATTCAGTGTATAAGGTTTCAGGTTTACTAATCGTGCTCTACCAGATAAGCCCTTCATTATTATGCTGGTCCAGAGTTGGAAGACATTTTAAAATACTATTTTAATTTATTTTCCATAAAATCTAGCTACTACTATGAGTAAGCTCTTTTTCAGCAACTTATGATTTTATGCTAGGATTACTTGTGACATACTTACATGGTGCCCTGAATCTGTAACCAATAATGATTCCTGGATAAGTTAAGTACCTCAATATCGTCCACTATTTCCTATGGAAAATTTCATGCCACCATTCATGACAAACATTAAAATTTGAAAATTACACATATCGTAGTTTTTCATTCCTTTTTCTTCATCTCAATAAAAATTGCATTTTATCTTCTTGTGACTGATAGTAAAATTGTTAGTTAAATACTAAGTGAACTCAAAGAACTTTCACATATTAAGTTTTATAATAAATAAACCTAAAACGCATTATCTTAACATATTGTAGAATTACATTCTTCTTAAGGTGTGTCCAAACATAGAACAAAACATTCTTTGGATGCACTTGACGCTCTATATTTGGACACACCTTTAGCTTTGATTAAAATTAGATCTAATAACTTTAAAATTTGTTATTCCATACCATAAAAATATTATTTGTCTATTATAAGAAATAATAAGTTGCAATTTAAACATTAAAATAAAAGCAAAAACTAATTATAAAACAAACAAACTTTAAAGTTTGACTTTAAATCATGAAATCAAGCGTTTGAATATTAAAATTTCATGATAAATTTAGCCCAATTATATTAACATATTTAAATTTAATGGCAACTGTATTATGATTACATCCATTGCATCTCTATTCACAACTACCTACTGAAAATGTTATTCTTTTTTACGCATAAAATAAATATTTACGCCATATCTATAATTAATTAATAAATTATGTGATTGGCATCTAATTATACTTATAAGATTAAATGTGTTCATTCAACTAACATTTTGTTTAAAAGTGAAAAAACGATCTTGTATTTAATAAAATGCGCCATCTTGTACAAGAAACACAATATAAAAAAATTAAACTATATAACTAAGCTTTAAAGTTTAATATTAGCTAGCTTTTTTTTCTTTAATAGTTATATTTATGAACGTTTCGAGTTTGACTAGATAAACTTGTTACAAATAGTTTTTTTTATCTTAGTGACTTGTCTCAATTAAAAAATGCACTATTTTTTAATTGTTTAAGTGGCGTCTCTAATTTATTTATAATTAATTATTTGAATAAAGGCTACTTCATTCGTAGTTACCCTATCTATCTCATTAAATAGTAGTAATAAATTTTCCTATACCCTATAACAGTATAAAGATCGCTTCGAAAATTGTTTCATTCTTTTTTCCCTTTTATTTTTTTCATAATACTTGATTGTTCCTACGAAATGTAAATTTACTAACAATTACAGTTTCCTTTTTTTTTCGATTTAGATTAAAATTCAATTAATTAAAATTATCTAAGTCTGACCCAAAAACTCGTAAAAATGAGTTATTTTTTTTATTTATTTGGAAACTCAGGCCAGTAATTAATGCGAAAACGTTGCGTCGTTCCTTCAAATAATTTATCGAGCCAAATTGGTAATCCATCTAAAAGATCACCTTCCAATAGCACATCTTCTTTATCTGAATCTGATGATGATGATTCATCAAAAGCAATAAAAGCAGCTGTTTCTAAATCCTTTTTTTGAATCGAATATAACTTCAATTTTTTTCTTAACTACAAAAAATAAAAATTGATTTTGTTTTTATAATTCAATAATGATAATTAATAATAATAATCTTACACCATGATTTAATTCTGTGTGTTTTGCATGAAACATACAAAAATATTTTCTGTGGCCATTTAAAGCTAAAACAGTTCCAACACAATTTCTAGGATTTTGTATTTTTAATTCTCTTGTATCCATTATTGATAGTTCCAAAAGTTCTTTAAACCAACTTATTCCTCGTTCGATATACATATAAGCAAACATTAATGTTTTATTTCTTAAAAAAACGTATAATAAGAAATTTTAAATTAAATTGTTTAATATTACTTACTTCCTGTATGGCCAAACAGCTTTATGAAACGGTGGAATTAATTGTTGTCTCGATTGCATATCTAAGATGAGTAAAATCGTACGACATCCCGGTTTTAAAAGTCTCACCAAGCCGTGATATTTTTCTGATCGAAGTTCATGAATTTTCAGTTCCGGTTGATAAACGGAAATTGATCCATTTGATACGTTATTGTTTGTTACTGAACTTTTGGTGGCGTTTATTTTTTCTTCTTCGATCCGCACAAAATACGTCATAACGAAACCAATTATAACAATAAAAGCGACTGTTCCCAAAACGGATAAAGCAGGGAGGATTTGTTCTTTGCTTAATCCATCGTATATTGATAACCAAATGGTGCGAATTTTTGAGAACACTCTACCGACGATTCCTTTTGCGTGTTCATCAAATAATTCCTTAAAAAAATATAATTTATAAATTATAATATAAAGTAAAAATAAATTGAAATAAAGTTACTTTTACAAACGCTTCGTAAGTTAAAGCTTCCGTTGAACGTAATAATCGGCTTATCGTGTTTTCTAATTTTTGTGTTGTATCATTCATATTTTCTTCATATTCCCATTTTTCATCGGCCCATTCATATTTTACATGTTGAGTGTCTCTACGCCATAATATTACGATTCTTAGAAGAGGTTCTACTAATTTACCCTCTAAAAAGAAACATAAAAAGAATTTAATTAATATTTTAGATTACCATAGAGGTTGAAATTATAAAAAATATAAACTTAAAAATAGAGAAACAGCTGAGAAATACAAAAGTAGACTGGAGTAGAAAATTCAAATGAAGAGAGAAGTGATGACCAGGTGGAAAGTAGAGAAGACAAGTGAAAAGAAGAGTATTTCTAGGAATTATTGGAAGGTACAGAAATAGGAGAGGACCAACGCTCAAAATATAACAAGAAATATATAAAAATTGGGAAAAATGCCTAATTTATAAGAAAGGGGACAAAAGTGTAAAAATTATGAGCACAATTCTGAAAGTATACGAACATGTGATAGAGCATCGATTAAGATTAATGATAGAATCTGCACTTCAAATGCACTGCAAGACAAAATGATAAAAGTTATCCAGAGCATTTATAAAACAATATATTAATTTAATAAAGCGAAATGCACAATCGGAAAACTGTATAACCAAAGAAAACTTTAATCAAGAAGGAGATATGAGTCCATTCCTATTTACAGTGTTAATGATGTATCATTCATAATAAGGGAATTTCGCAAAAGAACAAGCAATAGTCTAACAGGCTAGGTTATAGAAATTTAGGAACTATAGGTTTTTCAGACTCTGTATTTATGAATGATGATATTGTGATAATTACAGGGTATAAAAATGATTTTCAGCGAAATATCACAACATGGAATCAAGTACTAAAAGAATGCGGCATGAAGAGACTATTTAGTTTCATAGTTTAGACTATTTAATCACTATTTAGTAACATAGTTTCCGCTAACGAAAAGGTTTATTCGAAAAAGAGAAGTTGCGAGTAGTACTAAAAGGTACGTTTGCGCGGCACATATTTTAGATGCGTATACATATGGCTATTGTTAATGCCTTAGGTTGTACAACATGTGTAGTGATAGCTGCACAACGTTTGTTTCGATCGAAACATACTTGAAGGTTAAAAACAACTATCAACAGCGATATTTATTGTTGAATTCTTGAAAAACTACACCAAGTAATTCGAGAGAAACGAAGATAAGTTAACGAACGAACACCTCTGTGGTGCTCCTTCATTTCCTTTATATTCTTTTTTCGCTGAAAAAACTTAAATTGAATATCAATAAATAATGTATTATTATTAAATCAGAAGAAGGCCTGGCTTGTTAAATACAACTGCGAAGTTTTTGTCCATCCTCCCATAGTCCAGACCTGGCTTCTTCTGATTTTCATTTGTTTGTTCCATTCAAAGTTTATTTGACGGGTAAAAGGTTTGAAAACGACGACGAATTTCAAAATGAAGTAAGGCAGTATTTTCAAAATTTGGTTCGAACCTTTTATGAACTAGGTATATAGAAGCTTGTACCTCGCTGGGATTAGTGCCTTAACATTGGCGGCGATTATGTTGAGAAATAACTAAGAGTTCACGCTTTTACTTTGTGTATATTTGATTTCTATAAATGAACTAGTCTGTCTGTAATTCACAAATGTACCTTAGTAACCGGACATACCTCGTACATAAAGCAAAACATATAACAGAAAGGAACAAAAGCAAGATCCAAACAACGAATTTGAAATTTCTAAGAATAAAAAAATGTAACAAGACGAATTGCAGTTAGAAATCAAGAAGTCAGAGAAAAACTAGAGGTGGAGATATTTTTTGGAGTATACAGACTATTTCTGTAAGTCGTGGCCTAATTTTAATCACAAATACTAGAGTGGAAATGATGACGATTCGTGTAAAAATTTTTGATCTAAACCCATAAACGGCTAAGATAACATAGGCCATCAAAGTAAATAAATTTTTAAACATTTTCTTAAATATTTTCAATATGGTTTATCTTAGAAAGATAAAATTTGGCAAACAGTGCAATGTTATGATGAGAAATCGTTTAATATCACTTTTGAAAATATGCAAACTAATTATCCACTGCGACTGCAATATTGCCAAATAATGCAGCACAAAATCCAAATTGATGATTAGTTTTAAGACAAGTGATCAATTTGAGAAATTTACATAGTTGGGCGGACGAAAATCCAAGATTTAAGAAAACTTGGAAATCACAATGGAGATTTTCTCTTAACGTTTGGGCTGCCATTGTGGGCGATGTAATTATTGGACCCGTTTTCTTGCATAGGTGCACCGATAAGTTGGCCCCCCCGATCGCCGGATCTTACACCTATAGATTTTTATTTATGGGGACGCGTTAAATCGCTAATTTACTGCGTTGAAATAACTTCACTTGATCAACTGAGGTTGCGAATTGTTGATTCATTTGATCAACTTCGAACTGAGATCAATGTTCTCCGCAGAGTGCGCTTTAATTTAAGACGGCGATATCAGGCGTGCATTGATGCCTCTGCATCTGCTTTAGTATTTTTTTGTTCTTTTTTATTTATTACTATTTGTTTATAATTTTATTGTTCTTGTTAATATTTTTGTTAGAATTTTTGTTATGTTCTTGTTTGTTGTTACCGTGAAAATTAAATTTATCGTTTTGGAAATTACATTCTTTTATTCAACTAAAATAAATTAACACTGGNATCAGAAATCATTTAAGATCTACGACCTATATGTTACAATATTTTCTGATAGAGCTAACAAATACGAATCCATTGATTCTTCGCAAGCATATATTGGCTAATTAGATGTTATGATATTAATTAATAAAAATTCGGGAAAAATGCGGCGGGTGTAAATTTTAAAGGATGCTCTCAAAGATTAATACTCTACAATATATGAAGAGGAGCTTCTGTTACAGTTATTAAATTGTATGGAAATTAATTATAATCATACATAAAATGTCAAAAATTGGTTTTATTTATTATTGTTATTGTTTTATTATTATACCCATAACAAAATCAAGCAATTTCTGACAAATTACATATTATGATTTTGATAAATTCGGTAACACCAAAGACAATAGAATCTAACAGGACTGCTACATCCATTGTTGTTTTGTAACCCACTACGGTTACAAAACAAACGACGTAGAGTGGTTGCCTGCACTCTACGTCACACTATTTGCCACGCCTAGTTAACTGTCAATGAGTTCTATGCGTTTGCTGTGTGTTTTTAGAGGTTATATGATAGACATATGTCAATACAAGATTTACTTTTGAAGTTAATGTGAATACGTCTAGGATATACTACGATATACATTTTCGTTTCTAAAATAAAATAAACTAACAATAAGTGACATTTTTATGACGATTTATCGTTAGCAAAGAAATTGTTTAGAATCGGTATAAGCTCCGCCCATCTCTGTGACGTCAAACTTAGGCAGCCTATTAAATTCTCAATTTGATGGACTAATAACATATGGGATTTAATTTAATTTTCGACCACCTGTATAAAGTAATACAGTAACGATTAAAACGACTAATAAAATTTAGTGAAAAAACTATTTTGTGCCGATTCCGGTGGACCGGAAGTAGCGACCATCTTGAATATATCTTAGATTGAAAGATTGAGATGAACATTCCATATAAATAAAAATTCAGAAACATAGCTGCAATTGAACTAATAAAAACAAAGTGTCACTCACTTTTTGGCGTACACTGTATAATAAATGAAATTAATAATTTTGAAATATTTGTCATTTCATCACCAATAGTTTTCCTAGTGAGATGTAATAATTAACTGGTAATACAGTGAAAGCCACTTGTGAGTAAAACATCAAATTTTACTGTGTTTACCCTAGCATTGCATTGCATATTCAGTTCAGTTCAGTTCAAAAAAGTTCATAATATTAAATTACCTGGTATTAAAGCATTAACAAACTCAATTTGTTTATCATGATAAATATAAGCAAATCGAACTTTATCAATACTATAAGGAGCATTTTGTGCGTAAAGTCTAAAAGTTTCCCTGTGAACATCATGATTACTTGATGTTGAAGTCACCAAAACAACACAAAGTTTTTTTCTGGGTTTATTCCATTCACATGGACAAAGTGAATCCAACACTTCCTAAAAACAATATTATAAGTTTTTAAACTAATCATAATATTATATATAATATAATATACCTGTGATGATAATCTTGGTAAAGCTAAAAATTGATTTGAAGTAATAATATGATGTAAAGTAGTGGTAGGTATATCTTTCATGGTAATACTAGCAACTGGTCGTGATGAATTTTCATTAAACATTAAAACAGCGTCCATATCACTTGGTATTTGATATTTAACACGCAACTCTTCAGATTCAACAAATCTGTAAAGTTAAAAAAATTTAAATTTAATCCATATTTAAAAAAATTAACTCACCCAAATGCTACTCTATCTCTAAAGTGAAAAGCTGTAATTAAATATCTTAATCTAATTAAACTCCTTGGTTCAAAAACTAAAGCTCTAACTCGATTATCTGTCCAACCATTTAAAAAATCTTCAACATCTGTTTCATCTATGGATGGTACTAATTTATATGGCAGTTTTCTTCGAAGGAAATCGATTATTCTTTGTAAACTAGTAATTGTTTCTTTATAAACATAGATGTTTCCATCTAAAAGTAGTACTAAACAAGGCAAAGTGTGAACATTTAAACGTCTTTTTAATTTAGGTTCTTTATCAGCTTGAATTGTAACAAAATTAATGCCATAAGGTTCAACATAATCTACTAATTTTCGCATATAAGGTGCAGCTTGCATACAAGAAAAACACCAGTCCGTATAAAAGAATATGAAATAAGGGGTTTTACTGCTTCTTGGGAAAATTATTTTATCAAAATGTCTAAAAAAAAAATTAATATTGCACTATTTTAAATATTATAAATAAGTATTATACCTTGTAGTTATAGTAAGTTTATGAAAAAAAGTTATATCATTATTAGGTGCATAAAACCTTCCGTCACCAAAAAAATCATCATAACCAAAATTATATCTTATATTATCATGTTGATAATTAAAATCTTCATCGGTAATCCCATTTTGATCATATTTAAAACGTCGATCAGGGTCTGAGAGTAATTCATAAGCTTGTTTAATTTCAACAAATTTATTTTCAGCGTCGGGATGTCCTGATTTATCCGGATGCCTTTAAAATCAAAGTTAAATAATAAACTTAACCTCAAAACGAATAAATCTTAATTTACCATTCTTTGGCTAATCTTTTGTAAGCTTTTCGAATATCTTGACTAGTCGCAGCACGTTTAACGCCCAATATTTTGTATGGATCACCTGTTCGAGTTGAGGTCGTTTGTCCCTCCAGGAAGAGGAAGAATAAGGCTAAAATGGGCCACACTTGGCGCAACCATATCATTGTCACTTCCCGTACATAAAAGCGTCGAGATTTTTCTATACGTTTTTTCTAATATCCACTTGTTCCGGATGAATATTTCGTTCGAAATTTATTGATCATTCGCAGAGAGACGAGATGACAACTATTTTTATCCCCTCAAAAAAGACCAGGACAAACAGCTGATTTTTAAAATAAATACGTTATGATAGTGATTTAGTTCAAAATACTTTTTTTATTTTAAAAATTTAATTTTTTAATCTTCAAAAAATATATTTTAAAATGACACTTCTTGTTTATGATTAACAAACAAATTGTTCAATATTTTAAAGTGATACCAACATAAGATTAATAACCAAATTTAATTTCCTTTTTTTCTTCAATTATGTTTTAAAAATGATTTAAAATAAAGATTGTTTTAAATAATTATTATTAAAATGAATATGTAATTTTGTTTATAATTAATTAAATAATTGAAGATTTAAATGTACACCCAACTTTGCTTTAGTACCAAATCAAAAATAACTAGGTTTAATCGATTCTTGCTTTACATCTTTTACAACAAGAAGCTGCAAGAATTAAATCTGGTTAAATCATTAAAAAGCGATGAATGCTGCTATAAATATTAACGTTGAAGATACAACAGCTAGTTTGGTTAAATATGGGTTATATTTGGGAGCAATTTTTCAAATTATCTGCTTGTTAGCTTGTGTAATTTTACCTGATTCTGTTGAGGAGTCTGTGAATTGGTCTGTGAGGGTAAATTCTCAAATATGTGTTGATATAAACCATAATCAATTAATATTTATAATTTTATATTATATAGGGTGAAAGCGATGATGAAAGCTCTGAACAAAGCACTCCCCATCACACTCCAAGAAGACCTCACCATAGACTCAGGAAACAAGAAAAGAAGAAGAGGCGTTAAATATTAAAAATAATTCAATGTTTAATTTAAGTTTTCGTCGTTTATATAATTTATAACATTTTTATTAAACACTTAAATTGATTTGAAATTGTTGTAATTCAATTCATAACCTTGAAGTTTTGTTTAAATAAAATTTACCTTCATTTAAATATAATAATCCAGAATATAATATTGGGATGGTTAAAATAACTAATAAAGGAAAAATGTCAATAGCAAAATGTATTGTAAATAATACAAAGGATTTTACATAATGATAAACATCGTGTAAATCTAACAAAAATAATTTTCAAAAGAGAAAAAAGGGAATGCTTTATGATTTTGTTTCGTCAATAATTACATCTAATTTTTGTTTAAATAAGTAACATATACACATATTTATGTAGCTACATACAACAAAAAAAAATTATAAAAGACTACAACAATAAATAGATTCTAGAGAGAACATACAAATAAATAATTAGTAAAAAAAATATACTGAATATTTACACTTAACCTAAATAGAACGAAACGTCACTAAATATCACATTTAAAATAAAAATTGTAATATTAAAAAAACTCTTTGTACGTTACGTAATCGAATAATTCGATCTCGGACTTGAGAAATGTGACGAACTATTCGATCTTGGACTAAAATGATCGGAACAACTCGGTCTTGGTGAAATATCACACGTTTGTAAACCAGGACTTTGATAACAAACGGCACTCGCATGTCCTGATCTTCCTGACGTTAATGGTACCCCATCCTCCCAAACATCACGAGCGGGGTCATAAACTTCCACGTTATCCAAAAAGTTTTGTCCATCATATCCACCAATCGCATAAATTTTGCAATCAAGCACTGTTACACTCAAAGCGCTTCGAGATATTTTCATTGAGGTTACAAATTCCCAAACATCGCGTTCCGTATCATATCGTTCCACAGAATTTCTTTGTCTGGTCCCATCAAATCCACCAATAACGTAAATGAATTGGTTTATTGCAGCTACTCCTGCTCCACTTCGCGCGGTATGCATTGGGGCTATTAATGACCACTCATCGTTTTCAGGATGATAACATTCAGCTGAATTTAAACGATTTTTACCATCAAAACCACCGATTGCGTAAAGTAATCGATTTACTACTGTTACTCCAGGTGCTAAACGCTTTGTATGCATTGGTTTTACATTTGTCCATCGATCATTTTCTGGATCGTAACTAAAAAGTGTTTTTGATGAATTTCGACTCAAAAACAAATCAATTTTAAAATTTCCTTACCATTCAACACTATTATGATATTTTAATCCTTCACTACCGCCGACTGCATATAAAAGCCCATCCATAACAGCAACTCCAACTCGATTTCTTGGTGCAGACATAGGACTACAAGGTCTCCAAGTATCTTTAATTGGATTGTATCTATCAACCCAATCGGAATCGTCATTTGTGCCTGGAGTATTGTTTCTTCCACCGACAGCATAAAAATTGCCCTAAAAAATATATTTATTTTTAACTGTGCGGAAAGGGGCTACGAGTTTAAAAACTGTGGGAATAGGGAAAGAAAGGCGGTATGTGCTAACTGTAGAGCCAGGGGGAAGGATGACAGACGCGAAATAAGAGATAGAAACTGTGGGGAATACCAGACAGCGGTGGAGTTGGTGAAGAGAAATATTAATTATGGGGACATGGAGAGAGAGTTTAAAGGAATGGAGCGGATTACTGACTGTGAGGAGGCGGTGAGGGAGATGGCCGAGAGGAACTTATCAAAAAGCTAGAGTAGGGAAAGGGGGTGAAAATGGTTTTCTGGAATGTGGCGAGAATGATAAATTAAGAAGGGTAATTCTGGGAATATTTGAAGGGATTTGAGGTAATAGATATGGTGGAGACATGGGTGGACAAAAGAGGGTGGGAGAAAATACAGGGGAAAATGTCGCAGCAGTATAGATAGGACTGCGTGTTTGCGGAAAAGAGGAGTAAAAAGGGTGGGTCAGTGGAGGAATAATAACAGGAATTGCAAAGGAGCTGGAGGAGGAGACCGAAAGGACGAAGGTGTGGAGGAATAGGGGGATAGTAAAGAGACAGATCAAATTGGGGGGCCAGACGATACAGATAATCACGGTCTACAGTAGATCAATGAAGGAGGCCGTAAAAGCAATGGGGGGAAATGGCAGGGGAGGGGACGGAGAGTTACCTGATTATTGGAGGGGACATCAATGCAAGAGTGGGGGAAGAGGGGAGACGGGAGGAGCTCTGGGCGTTAGAGGGGCCACGACGGTCGAAGGATAAGGTACAAAACGGAGAAGGAAGGGAGTTGTTAGGTGGGCGGCGGAGAGGGGATGGGAGATACTGAATGGGAATAAGGAGGAAGGTGTAGAGTGGGAGTACACTTATATAGGGGCAAGGGGGGCATCAGTAATTGATTATGTGGTGGTGGATCAAGAGATGTGGGAGTGGGTGGAAGGATTTAGGGTGGGGGAGTCGGTTGGATTGGATCACCAACCGCTGGAGGTCGAGATAAGGGGAGCGAGGAGGATTGGGTGCTTACAGCAGGAAAGAAAACACATGAAAGCAATCTAGTCGGAAAGAGGAATAAAGCATTTTAAGGGAAAGCTGCAAGATCGGCAACAGAGGGGAGAAATGGTGAGAGAGATAGAGGATTTGGTGAAGGTAGTCAAAGAAGCAATATTAAAGGAGTGCATGTGATGGGAAAAGCAGGGAACCGAGAAGAAAATTGAGACAGGGGCGGATCAATATAGAAAAGTAAGAAAGGGGTATAAAGAAATATGCAGGAAGAAGAAGAAGGAACTGAGGGAGAAGTAGGTGGATGAGATTAGGCTGGTGAGACGGGAAGGGGATGTCTGAAGATACATAAATAAGATAACAAAGAGGAGAGAGGAAGTTACCACTGAGATACCTATGACGAACTGGAGGGAATACTTTATGGGGTTACTGGAGGGGAGTAAGGAAAGGCAAGGGAAAGATGAGACAACAGAAGAGGAGGTGGAGACAGTATTGGGGGGATTCAAGAAGGCACCCGGAGAAGATGGGGTCCAAAACAAGACATGGGTGGAAGCAACGGTAGAAGTGAGGGAGAGGTTGTGGATGGCGTTGAGCATGGTATGAAAGGGAGAAGAGTTTCCGAAGGGGTGGAGGACAGCGCCCCTTCCGCCAATAGGTCCCTTGTACAAAAAGGGAAGCAAAGATACAGTGGAAAATTAAAGGGGTATCAGTTTACTGAATACGACATACATGACATACGCGAAGGTACTGCTTGCAAGGCTGGAAAAAGAGATAGAGGACAGGGAGCTCCTGCCAGATGATTAGGCAGGGTTTAGAAAAGGAAGGGGAGCGATAGCCAAGAAGAAGAACGTTGGCTGCGAGGGCGAATAAGGTTATGGGACAGGTTTGAGGATGGGGTGAGAGGATTTTTGGGAAAGATGTGGGAAAAAGGAGATTCATGTTTGAGAGCTTGATAAAAACCGTCGTGATGTATGGGGTGGAGATATGGGGATGGAAAGAGCAAGGGCTCTTAGAAGATGTGCAGACCAGGTACTGGAGGTGGGTGTTGGGGTTGGCTAGGGAGACTCTAGGATATTTAGTTAGGGAAGAAATGAAGATAGATAAGGTGAGGGTGGAGGCGGGGAAGCGAGCGGTGCGTTTTGAGGAGAAGGTGGACGGTAAAGGGCATTGTAAAATCTTGGGGAAATGCTTCAGAGACAGATTGAAGCAAGTAAGAGGCGTTATAGGCAGCCAGAAAGGGAGGAATACTACAGGAGTGTGGGGTATTCAATAGAAGAAGTGAACGGGAAAGGAAAAGAGAGGATTGAGATGTGGAAACAACTGGAGAGCAGGGAGACAGGGATATGGGAATGCAAGAGAAAAGGATGACAATAAGGGAAAGCAGGTAAAATCCAAAATATGAACATGAGGAGGAGAAAAGGTTGATAGCAAGGTTTAGGTGTGGGAATGAAGAAAGGGCCAAAAGATATTGGATGGAAGATGAGGTGCAGGCTGGGAGACTCTACACCATCTGTTGGTGGAGTGTAGTGAGTTGAGGGAGGAGGTGATGGATTGACGACAGGTGTTGAGGGAGAGGACGGAGGGAAGGAAATGGATGGGGGAGGATACGTAGGGAGACAGAGAAAGGGGTAGGATTTAAATTAGTTATGGATAATATTATTTTTTGTAACATTGTAATCTTCTGGATACAAATTATTATTAATATAAATTTATCTTTAGCTTCATCACGACATAAAAAAAAAGTACCTTCAAAAAAGCTCCTCCTAATCCAGATCTAGGTACGGTTAAATTATCCAATTGATGCCACGTTTTATCATCAACATTATAACCTTCTAAAACATTTAATGATTGTCGAAAATAACCCCCTGCTACATAAATTATTCTAGGCGTGTTTGGGGTACGTTGTTTAACAGCCGTTCGTTTATGCAACGTTAGATCTTGAAATATTTTTGATAAATACAATCTACATGCTGGTGTTTTTTTTAAAACATCGCATTTCGCAATTTGATCGTTAAGGAACTTTGGCGTTAAAAACTGACATCGAACTGCGCATAATATGTTCTCCATTTTTACATGTCTGGTATCCTCGTCGTATTTTACCCATTTTAAAACTGCGTTGTATACTTCTTTTTCTTCTTGTACGTTCAATTCGTCTTTTTTGATCAAATTTACTAATTGAAAGGCGCTTAATTGTAAAAATTCTTCTTCGTGACATATCTATAAAAAAAACTTAATTTGGTACAAAAAAACTTATTTAATTCTAGTAAATCAATAAGAACACTTTTTTTAATTAAACTAAACTACATTAAATATATTTTTAGTTAAATTAATGTATATTAATTACCTGACTAAAATTTCTTTCAATATACTGATTGGCTTTCCTACATAAATCATTACAACCATGTTGTTCTGCAAAATTAGCAATGCCAATAGCATTACTAGGATCCAATTGTTGTTCCAAAAAATCACAGCATGCTTGAATCACGTTCGTAACCTGAAGCAAAATTCTGCAAATCATTTTTTAATGTTACAAGACCGTCGATAGAGTTCCTTTTAATTTTTTTTGAGGAACATTAATGAATAACGTTACCTGAAACATCGTCGCGGCAGGTAAAAGTTGACACACCGTGTTTTCCGTTACTCGTATCCTTCCGGTGTACATAAAATGTATCAGTCGGTTCATTGCCGTCGGCGAAACCCCTTGGAGTTTCACCCGTTTCATTTCCGATTCTTTTAAACCTCCCGTGAACATTGCTTTAAAATAAGGACTAGCTGCCGCTAAAACTACTCTATGAACGTGAAATAATTCTGTTCCTACTTCTAAAATTACATCTGTTAACATTTGATGGCCACGCATCATATCCATCGCCTGAAAAAAATCATAAAAACATCAGATTAATGAATAACCTTAAGGATATTTAAGTTAATTTAATGATAAATGATTGATTTAATGATAAATGTGATCATCTTAAACAAGTAAAGAACCACTTTGCACGTTGGAAACCAAAAATCATTTTTATGAATTCTATGCGCACTTTTACACGTCTTTCGGGGCTTTCCGGTTCCGCCAGTTTTCCTCCAACATAAATCTTAATGTGATATATCACCTAGGGTTGCATGTATTATGTTCTCAGTGACTGGAGGTTTGGCCAATGGTGATCTTTTATTCATTATTAACAATTGCTGGTATTAGTGGTATGGTTATCTACAAGTTCAACAATACTACAATAACCGGAAGAAGACGACACTTTCTACAAAATCCGATTATGACATTAATTGATGGTCATCTTCGTCTTATATAGGTATATAGAGTAAAAGAAATTGTAGGACAGAAAGAGCCATCACAAATCTTGTCTACTTCTAACTAAAGTAATTTTTTTGTCCGGTAGAAAAAACATAAACGTAAGAAAAAAAAAAGAAAAGCAATATTAATTTTATAAACACCTTGGTAATACCAAAAAAAAACTAAAAAATTTGATATTGAATGGTATTTTAGAAAAACAAACAGTCTCTTCTTGAGATCTTGACCCAGAAATAGAGAGTGCAACTTTATAATGCTTTGGTGTTGCCTATATTTAATTATAGTAACATAATTGATCCTTCTTGTGTTTTCCTGGAGATACAAGCAAAACTAAGAGTATGCTAAGAGTAACTGAAATGAAAACGTTGCGAACTATCTTAGAAAAGTAGATCACAGGGTATATAATATTATAATATTATATATATAATATTAGAATTAAAACCATTAGGAAGAACATACAAAAGATGGAACACCACACACGTTAGCACGAGCAGGATAGCTGAAATGAAGACATGTTAACTAATCTCTCTCTGCTAAATTTTCATTCTTAGCTTTACTTATTCTATGATTAACATGAATAATTAGCTATTTGGCTCCTTGAAAACTTATATTAAAAGATGTGATTTATTTAATTGGACTGTAAAAAATCGCATTCATTCACGGCCACATTGAAGATAAGAAACCGATTTATGTTAAGAATTTAGGCCACGAATATCTACTAAAATCGGAATTTACGCACTGCAAGATAAAAATGGTGTAATCAAATTGTTTGCAAAATATTTTTTAAATAAAGTTTGCTAATTGCAGATAGGAGATTAATTTAACTCATGATACTTCGCATAAGAACATTTAATGTCGAAAATAACCAATTTGCACGTAATTTTATCAACAAACAGAAAATATTTTTCGTTCATGTTATTCATATCTATAATGTATTAACAGTATAAGCAAATATGGTTAGATAGCTCTGGACCACCACTATCATTAATTATGATTAGGGATATTATTAGTACAAAATTTAACTTAACCTCAATTCATCCTATATGATGACTATGATGACTAACTATATGGACTTATCCCAGAAATAAGAAGTACTTTAGACAGAATTAAAATTAACTGCTAGATCGAAAATATGATGAGAATTACTACGAATGTAGATTTCACCAATTTTGTCAATATTTAAGAAAGTCATTTCCTACAAAGGATGAAGTGGATCCATGACAAGGAAGATAACCATAATCGCCAAAAGCACCAAGGCATGCTATGAACAACGGAAACCAAAAGATTCCTAATGAACATCGGTTTAAAGCAACTGCTTCCACAAATTCGCAACAAATTATGAGCCTTCAGTTTCGTTGGTTCGACCATGAAGGCAATATCTGGAAACTTGGATACTGAGGACGCTATGAGATACGACTATACCATAGAAAACTAACCAAAACTCAGAAAGATGTTCAACGTAATCGAAAAAATATACAAAATACTTAAACCATAAGGAAAAATCAAGTCATTCTTAAATCACGGTTGTTACTTAAGACGAGCTATTAAGAACATTATACGATATTAGCTCTTGAAACAAACTGAAGAGCGAACAACCTCAATGATATGATATGATAGATCAATCAATTGTTCACGGTAAAAATCTTTGCGAAAATGTAACCTATCATTTTACAATAATTCGAAAAATGTAAAGCGTATCGCAAAAACACCAAATACAAGTTTTTCCCAGTTCTACAAATTATCAACAAGACACACGTTGTTGAAAACAACATACGTCCATAACCAGATTGATAGATGTTTGGTTAAAGGTTAAAGTAAAACGTTATCTCTGTAAAACCAGTAGTAAACATATCAACAATGGAAAGTCTTGCGAGTATTGTTTATTACGACATCAATACAATAGAAATGAATTTAACCAAATTGTCTTAAGAAACACCCCGTCTACACTGACTCTGTAATCGTGAATCAATTGTGTGCTTAATTATTGTTGGTGCTATATTTTACCTTATTTGCTCAAGTAAGGAAAACCACAAAGAAGACAAGGAAATATCCATAACTGAAACTACAGAGGGAAGACATCGCCACCCCCGGTTCCTGTCTTCTCACTGAATAGAGATAAGTTACATGATTCAACGAGTAGCTGGATTGGCAATCTCTGGTGCGATAAGCACAACGCTAACTCTAGCAATGGATGTTCTGCTTGGCCTATCTAATTTTCATGTGCATATCGAGAAAGTGGCTAGAACTACCATCTACAGATTTAAGCAACATGCTCAAAACTGTTACACTATGTCCTAACAATAGGCTGCGGAAGACAATATAAGTACTGATATTGTGTTATCAATGACGTCAGATTTGACGGGATCACTATCAGTGATTAATGCTCGATACCAGATTGTACTGGCTGAACGGCAGTCTTGGATCAGAAATGAAAATTCTCTGGCAGATATTTGCTTGTTCACAAATGGATCAAAAACGCCGGAAGGGGTCGCGGCAAGAGTATACTGCCAGATACTTCGGATTAAGCAAGCTTACAGCCTGGGAATGTACAGCACTTTTGGCTCGCAGTTTATCTCCCCCAAAAGATCTGAATGGCTTTACACCGAGCAAGGTACTAATATTCGTTAAGAGTTGGTTGGTCCGCCTACCCGATATGTAATTTATATAAATGTAAAATGTACATAATTCAACACCGATTCCCGGGGAAATTGTCAAAAAGTGTTATCAAGTAATCACAATCACAAACTTTTCAGGCACAATTTTGCAAGGATAAACCGTTTATGAGATTTTTTTACTTAAACGTCATTGAGAGACTAAAATAAAACTTATTTTAGTTTTGTAATAAAGGAAAATTTAAAAAATGTATTAGAAAATTAAATAAGACGTATATTGAGTTGCCTATCTTTACGTTGATAAGAAAATATTACGGAATTTAGAAATAATAAAGTTTAAATAGGAACTCTAAACTCATTGATTGTATTTTATTTTGAATTGCATTGAGTAATTTTTTCTTAAATTCCTAGAATATCGATAAAAACAATAATAATGTTTCTTCTATAAATCACCGTACGATTATCAACACTGACTTGCACAGCAATGCAAAATCCCCTGCATTATTTCCTGACAACCAATAATTCTTAAATTGTTATCAATTTTTTTGAACAAATTTAAAATTAGATTGATTGTTATAGTTTCAATAACTAATTTGTAATTAATTGTATCAATTAAGTTATTTTTTTACGAACAATAATATCTACGCGACATTTCTCACATAACCATTTTATTTAAAACATTTTAAAATTGTCAAACGCAAAAAAATCGTTACTGATAATCTCATTTTAACATATTTGCAAGTCACTTCATGGCATAATCTCAAACGAAGGTCATCGGAACCAAGCACGTACCATGAGTAGAGATGAAACGGTTCTTTATTTGATATTTACTTGGAAACTTTTTATTTTAAACTTACCCTCATCGCATCTTTGATATACTCGAACATACTAAAACTCATGTCCCCAATTTCCGAGTTACAGCCACCGCTTGATTTACTATTTCCTTTTCTTGGACTGGACGCCGAACAAGTGGACGTAGAATCGTTTGTGATGTAAGGAAAATCTTCCTCAATGTCCATATTTAAACTGGAATGAAAAATTGATTTTGTTTAGCTAGGATTTTGTTCTATTAAAACCGCTTAAAATCGATAAGAATTTTTGTAATCGTTTTTAATTCACTTCCCGAGACACAATTAATCGAAATAAGCGAGATTTTATTATTAATCGAATTTAGTGACGCAAAAACCGATAGTAAAACTCAATTCAAGCGATAATTATTTAAATGTTAAAATTCTTTTTATTATACAATTGAAAATTACTTGTGAATTAAGTTTAATAAGTACCTATTTCTCATTTTAATCGCATCAACTACTTCAAGTTTTAATTTCGACTACCAAAATCACTTCACATTCAAAAACTACACAGTGTATACTGTGTACGAGTACACCACATACTATACAAAAAAAGTGGACTTTTGATAAATTTTTATCAACGCTGCAAAAAAATTTTATCGTAACGTTTATTTTCAATCACTTTTAAATTTACAAAACAAAGAAATTGATGTAAATCGGCTAAATATTACTTCATGCATACGATATTAATTAAACACGAACACTAGCTTTGCAGTGTTGTTTCTCGGTATCTCTTTGTATATCATTTCGGATAACAGGTTTCGTGAATAAAATGCATAGTCACGATTGATAACGCAAAATGATTTTGTTTTTTATTATTTCAAAACATAAAATCAATACCAAAATAATACATATTTCTTAAACGCTATGTTTAATATCGACCTTAAAATAAAAAATAAAAACTTAATATAAAAAATTAACAACAAAAAAAATTGTGGCTAAAACCGTTTTGTCAACGTCACACAAAAAATTGATTATTTATTTAAGATATTAGCTTTGATTATCAACCAAAGTAAGGTTGGTTATGATTTCGCCGAAATATCATTTAGATAAAACGTACAAAAAATCGTTTTTCAAATTACCGGATTAGTTTGAACAATAATTCAATTAATAATGTTACGTAAAACTCGTTTTTTTTCTCCTATCTAAAAAAAAAGAAACTTTGTCGAGTCATGTTGATTGTAATTTGGTGTTTTATTGTTATTATGTACTTTGAAACGTTTTATTTTATTATTTTTTTTTAAATAGGGTATTTGCGTTATTTTGATTTGTTTATTACACATTTGTTAGCAATATAAATCATTAAATTTATCTCCTTTTATTATCGTTTCTTCGTAAATTGTAATATTTCAAAATCTATTTTCAAATTTATTTTAAGCCATGTACAGGGTTTGTCACAACGAACTGAGTTTATACACTGCCTCAATAAAGTCTCCGTACAAATTAAATTTAAAAAACTTCTACAAACAAAATTTAAAGAAAAACTTGTTAGGTTTATTTCCAAATTGAACGCTTTTGGGATTTATAAAAAAATCAATACAAAAAAAGTGCAAATTCTACGCACAACATGTCTCCGTACAACCTCACAAAAATTTTAAAAACCACATAATAATTCTTAACAATTAGCGGGATAGTCCTTACTCTTGATAACTGCTTCTAATCTTCTCGGCATTGAAGCCACCAATTTTGGGGTAACAACCGGATCTATTTTGCCCCATTCCTCCCTTATTATCGCTTTTAATTCGTGGTGTTGTCATATTACTGCACTGACGAACGCGCTTTTTTACAATTTTACTAATTTCACCTAGTGATTTCCCATCTTTTAGTACCTAGTGATCGAATGCTTTGCGAAAATTTAACAAAAATAACGAAGTAAGGGTCCATTTCTGGAATAAACGGAATATTTTTGCTGAAAGGAACTCCTTGGATAAACCCTGCATGCAAATTTTCACAAAAATAGTGCCAGTAGTTTACCATATACATATAGACTCAGCTCGTCGTGACAGAACCTGTACATTTTTTTATATACTATTAAAAAAAAACACCTATAAATGTAATAAAATTAATTCAATTTTCTAAAATAAAATTTAATTCCATTTCCACAAAAAATACTTAAGATTAATCGAAAGTATCGTTAGATTTATGTACTATTGGTAATGAAGTGATAAAATGAAATGGTAATACAAATTTTGATAGTGTATTTAAATTAAGCAATGCAGTTTGGATACTTCATGTCCGGTTATGAGTATATACACTGAGAATTCGATGATTGTGCGAATTTAGCCAGTAAAACATTATCAGTACATAATGTGCATAAAAAAACTCGTTGCGTTAAAAATAGTAAGAATCAACTTCTAAATATAATAGGAAGCAATAAAATCTTAATAATATCTTTCCGTCATTAAATAAACCTGAATCTTTGAAAATTCCATGAAAAATAACTTTAAAAGTATCATTTAAATTTAATTATCTTAAATATTTTACCATTATCGCAACTATGACAACGCAGAATTTAGTTCTAGAAATCTCTTTTCCAATTGACAAAGTGTATTTAAAAAAAGGTATTTAAAAAAATTTATTATAATCATAATTAATAATTATGTATGATTTATATGTATAATATGTGTGATATTTTTCAAATGAGATATTAGTTACTGGAAGTAAATAATGCATTGACGCATTATTTTTTGCGCTAAATAATAACTGTAAAAAATCGTTTAATTCCATTCGTTTCATAATTTTATCACGCATTGTGTAAATGACTAACCAACCATACAGACAACTTCAATTTTATAAAATGACCAAGCAATTTGTAATATTTGTTTGTTGACTTCAAGTTTTAGCATCATATTAAACAACGTATATAAATATTATCCTTAATTAAATTTGCAAGTAGAGTAGAACATGATAATTTTTAATTAATGTCAGGAACAATACAAAAACAAATTATACGTGACAAAATTTGTAGAAAATATTGAGAGATTTCACTGTAAAGGGAAATCTGGAATTTTGCTGTTAACACCATCTTACTTCCATAACGTAGAAATATAACAAATTTCATCTCTAACCAGAATCACGATCATGTTATACGTAACTTGTCATAACAAGTGTTTTGAAACGGTTAAGTTTTTAAGATGACCTTATCCTGCGAAAAATGTAATAATACTCGTATTAACAGCAACCCGTTAATACAATGCTATGTTTAGTTGAAATAAGAAATTGCAAAATTTTGTGAATACCAAATTCAAAGTAGTAAAAAGTGTTCGATGGTGTCGCTGTTAAAACCAAGTCTATCATACAAGTACTACAAAAAGGTATGTATTGCTGAAATTAACTCAAAAACAGGAATTATAACCGGAGTTCGTTATAACCGAAGCTGTTTCTATAATACTTGATTCGTTATAAGCAAATTTATTAATATTAGGTTATACAGAAACATTTTCTAGTTATAAACGAGTGCATTATAACCGGAGTGTACTGTAACGATTTAGATATCCCTAAGAAAGAGTATATCTATCTAGTTTAGAAAAGGATCAATAAGTAGCTAAGAATTTTACATGAAAGATGAAATAAAAGATTTGAGCATCAGTGCCAAGCTCATCGACGATCTAACCATGGATTACGCATTAGTGACTATTAGAACTAATACTCAAGTGTGTAGCTACCTAAATGTACTGTATTCAAAATGTCAAGTTTAAAATTTGTATTATTTATAAAACTATTGTCATCACTAAACGTAAAAACATAAACTATACGCCACTCTTAACACGTAAACAGTTAATAAAGCTAATTTTTAGATCGTAGATTGAGCAATTATAGTTGTTCCTATATCTGTCTTAGGTGAAACCATAGAAATTTGCTAATACTAGAACTGTAGTAGACAGTTATTAACCTAGAAAGAAAGCTTTGTTTCATTCTAAATCATTTATAGCACTATTAAACACTAACATAAGTTGAACAATTTAATCCAAAACATATTCAATTAGTAGTAATTTGTACGATCTCTGAATATTTTAAGAAATATTTTATGTATATGAAACATTATGAAACACATTAGTGCCACTACAAAATTAAACACTTTAATTTATTTTATTAGCTATATCTTAAAACTTAACCACTTTAATAACTTTCCTTATACGGGTTGTCGTAAGTACTTAAAGTTCTTTACAGTTATGGTTAGCGCCACGATTACTGTTAAAATCGATATCCTAACCCGGCTATAAAAAGGATACTTGAATTTAGAATTTACTGCAGATTAGGTTGGAGATTACGTTTCGGAGTGAATAGGTCATGGTAACACCAATGTTTGTATTGTCAGCAGGATGCATTATTCGGAGAAAATTGCAAACATTAGAAATATAAATATAGTATAAATATAGTTATAATGTGTTGTTGTGGTCGATCCAGTGGCAGACTTCTGCCGACAGGAGACTACGACAACGCATTGAAGATGCTAGGTGAGATGTTGGCGAAACGTCTGCCCTTTTCCAAAGGGAACCAACAGGAAGAACGGACGAAATTTCAGACTGACCACAACAACACATACTTCTCCATCTGTGAAGTACTACGCATTACCATAGTCATAATATAGTTAATATAAATATATATAAATAAATAATAATAAGTACAGTTCAATTACTCCCAGCATATACTGTAGCTTACTGATCAAGAAGATGTTGGCAATGTACAAAAATACAAAGTCAAATTTAAATAAATCTAATGACATTCAAGTATGATTTTGAACTACAACAATATAGAAGAGCAGTCCTGTAATATAGCAGGAGGTAGAAAGCAGAACGTGTCACGTTGTACCAAAATAACCTTCCAACATTTCGTTAGGTAGAAGCAACGCCGCAGATTATATCATGGACCATACGGAACCAAGACGAGTAACAGAGAAGACGTTTGGTATACATTACCAGAAATAAAGATTCTTAGTTGATTAGGAATCTTTTAATAGATATTGCATCTATGACAGTACAAAACATAACAATGATCTACATGAGAATTCAAAGGAGACATTTAAAGAGGAAATAAACAACAAAATAATATTTAAAACAAGACAGATTATGCATGTGCTTATTTTAAAGATTATGCAATAGAATTAATCAGCAGGTGTTCAAAAAGAGGATATTAGTACACAATCATTGCTCCTCAAAAACTCCTACAAGATAGCTATAAGCAAATGAATCATAACACGCTGAGATAAAAAAATATATAATCTAGGAAGAAATAAAATAAAGAAAATCATACATAGGCAAAGTATATTTTATTTATTTTTCAAGTTAATGTACTTTTCCTCGTCAGATTACAAAAGTTACAAGAATTCTTTTAATTTTGATTTAATAGCTATTTCGTTAACGTTGCTAATTGGTTAAAAATTGCCTTAACTTGAAACATCTTCCATATAAAAATCCTGTATTAATGCCTGATTAGGGCTGTGTCTAATATATGCTTTATATACTTGATAAACATGTTATTTTATAAAAAAATAAATGAAAGTGAGTACGTGTGTTTAAAATAAATTTTTATTAATATAAAAAATACATTCGTTGTCTTTGTAAAAATATACCGTATGAATATAAATATAAACCCATATGGTCAACACAGGCGAGCTTTTAATAAATCCTACAATTCGGGTTAATGAACCTCAAGAAGTTTGAAACTAAATTACAGCTTTGTCCAATGATGTTCATGAAGACTGTCGGGGCTTGTTTACATCGACATTGAACTTAACTCCGCTGGTGGTCGAAAGCTATTACGCCACTCTAACCACAAGTAACTGCTCTATCAAAAATTTTCGAAACCGTCATCGTGGGTATAGTATTTGAGTTGAGTTTTATCCAAGACTTGCAAAGTTACAAACCTACCTTTGATTAAAGAGAACTGCTAAAACGAGAAAATATGATGGAGTATTAAAAGCTTCTCACCATATTAAACCCAAGGACTGGACGGTATCATATCTGGCCTTTTACAAAGTTTTTTACATAGATCTCGTTTTAGCGATCTAAATCTTATCTTATTAGAAGTGGAAATCTATCCCAACTGAAGTCCACATCGTCGGCTTTTCAAGTAGTGAGCAGTTTTGTCAGTAGGATTGTGGTTGGGTCATTAATGTTATATATTACAGGTGCATTGCGGATTACCTCCACCTCTTATTAAATATAAATCTTATTAAACACTATCGTATTCGTGCTGAGCTTATCAACCGTCATAGTGGAAAGTTTAAAGACTGGTAAGATAGAATAAAGGATTCCAGCTGACTAAGAAACCATCCTAAGCTTTGGCAAAACCGCTATATGTGTTATGAGTTGTTACGGTACTCGGTGCTAGTTCATAACTTAAACTGGTAACCTTCTGAATGCTCCACTTTTCAAGACCTCGGAATAAGACATCAATCTGAATTGCGGATAGCGTTAAGAAGACACCTTTGAGTGATATAAATCGGCTTTCATAATCTTAGACCCGTTGGAGCTTAACTAAAGTTTAATTTAAGAAAACTTTTCTATAGCTTTAGAAAATACCGGTAAAATTCTAATTGGCCACAGATCCTGCAACTGACAAACCCTACTACTTTTAGGAACAGGTGTACCAAGTGTCTTGTATTAATGTATTAATCTTGTCCGGTCATCCAAGTCAGGATGACTGGTGAGTTGGCATGTTGCTACGTGACATTTTGCTGCTACAGTTTATTTTGGAATTATATCTTGGAAATTAGACCGTTACTCGTAATAAGCATATCACAACGTCATGCTTCTTACAGTTACATTGCTGCGTGAATATTAATAATAGGGTTGTATATTAATTAATTGTGAGTTTACAAAAAAGAATGGTATTCAAACGAAGCTGTTGGTCGAAATGAGAAAATTTGTTACCAGTTCTGATAATCACCGGCGAGATAAATGCAAGAATACGCCCTAACTTATCTGCACTCAATAATACTTTAAAATCTCATCACTATGAGAAGAAAACTTTGTAAAATTGACGTGGAAATAAAGAGTTAACAAAAAATTATAAATAATTAAAGTTACTTACCTTAAATCTTCATCATCAGAAAAACTTTCTTCATCAGAATAATTATCACACTTCCAATTTGGGAATTTCATGTTATTATGATTTTTACAACCGATTAACTAATTGAAAAAATTTCTTTTTCAAGATTTGAAAGCACCACACCCCTTACCAAATTTATTGTAGTGTTAATGCTTCCCTAACAAAAGTAGATAACTAACTACGCTGACACCAGGTACTAGGCTTATCGTTTAACTTCTCAAATATCATCATACATTGCTAAATCGTAAAACCCCCTCCTATTACTCCTCCCAAAAAAAGTATCCTCAACAAAGTATAAAGTGTACTCCAATTATCATTGTCCCCATACTGCCGTTACGATAACCCGTATATAAGGTGCAATAAAAAAATTAATTCAAAATTAAAAATGTTGATTAATAAAGTGAACAATGTTAGGTGTGTTCAAGTTGATTAAAAAAATTTATTGTTATAAAATTTAATTGTTCATTAGTCTCGGTCACGTTTTTAATGATGATTTTGTTGCATTCATTTCAAAGATCAAAGATTGAAATGCGAAAACTACGACAATACTGATAACATTGATAACGGGAGCCGTCACGTGACAAAACATTAGTATTAAAAACATTAATAATAGGGACGAAGGTGACGATGCATATTTTGCAATTAAATATCAACTCGATTTTAACAATTTATAACGGATATAAACATTTTTATGGAAAATGATGCTAACTTAATGATATAATTTGACTTCGTATATATCTTTTTAACATTATAAAAACAGTTTTTTTTAATATTTTTAACATTGTTGTAACCTATATCTTATCTGAATAAATAAATTTAAAAAAAAATTTAAGAAATTTGTTCCGGATAAATCTCGATTTAATCCCTGTGATACCTTTTTATCGTAAGCCGTTTATTAATCTCTCAGAACATGCAAAATCATGTAAAACATTTTTTTTATAACAATTTTACTTGTAATCGTTGAAGCGATGAAAACACGTTTGAGGTTATGTCATTAAAATCGAATTTTTTTCTCATTTCTTACCTGCACTTAACTTCCAAAAAATGCACGTATCAACAATTCGTTGTCTTATCACTTATCACTAACACGACTGACGCATATTGTTCGAAATCTATTTAATTTTAATTTAAAACCGTTTAACTGTCATTTTTCTACGGGGCCCAATTTCGTAGTTTTGAATCGCACCCAACAGATGGATGCACCTAACTTCTTGTCATCTTGACTTGACAACCAACGATTTAATAAAACATGGAGATATCAACTTTTTATTTCCCATCCTTATCTAATAACACAGATAAGCTATCATCCATCTTTATCAAAATCACGATTTTATAAAAATAACTACGATGATTTTAAAATCTATTATTTTAGAAATGAGATCATCTGTCAAATCAGAACCTAAACTTTAAAAAAATGGGTCTTTTTGGAAAATCGCCTGAAAGAAATCCAAAAGATTTGGTTTGATTATGATAACAATTATAAGCGGGTAGATTTAAATGTAATAAATCAAATTTTAGGTTAACGAATGGACGCATAAATTGAGGAAAGAAGGTTATCAACTCGATAGGCAAATTAGAGGTTTGTTCTAAACCTAATTTATTTATTAAAAAATAAAAACTTTGTATTTATTCTTCAGCAATTCAAAGAGAGGAAGACAAAGTTAAGCGATCGTTAAAAGAAGCCGCAAAAAAAAATGATAAAGATACCGCTTTAATATTGGCAAAAGAAGTTTTACGAGCCAGAAAAGCCATCACTAAAATTTATACATCAAAAGCTCACATAAATTCAGTTCAACTACAAATGAAAGGTCAATTAGGTAATTATCGAATAAATTCACCTTCAAATTAAAAATTAATTAAAAAAAATATTCTCTTAGCTACTTTACGCGTTGCGGGATCATTATCAAAATCAACGGAAGTGATGCAAGCGATGCAACAATTAGTTAGAATGCCGGAAGTTGCACACACAATGCAAGAAATGTCAAAAGAAATGATGAAAGCAGGAATAATAGAAGAAATGTTAGATGAAACATTCGAAAATATGGAAGATACCGAAGAAATGGAAGAGGCGGCGCAATCTGAAATCGATAAAGTTTTATTTGAAATTACTGAAGGTAAACTTGGGGAAGCTCCGGTTCCACCTGAAGAAGGAGCTGAAAAAGAGAAACCTGTCGTTGTTGAAGCTGAAGATGAAGAAGAATTGGTTGAAATGCAATCACGATTAGCTGCTTTGAAATCATAAAAAATATAAAAGCCTTTAAAATGTTTATGAAAGCTATACAATTCACTTTGCCTTTGTTAAAGTGTGATTTATATTGTGTATTTGAGATATGATGTGAAAAGTTTTTTTGATGCAAATGGCTTTTTTAAACATTTCTTAACTTATTTTTTAAGTATTATTATTATTAATAATTAACGTGATTAATTTCTGCTGTAATAATTTGTTAAGTATGCACATAAGGTCTAATTTATAATGAATCATGTGAATGTTGCATTACGAAAAGTTAGTTTACTTAAAGTTGTAGATAAATATTTAATAAATTATGGAAAAAGTTTTAATAAATGTTTCAATAAATAATATTAAAAACAATTTAAAATTGTATAAAAATAATTTTAAAGAACCAAAATTTAACGCAAAAGGACGTTAATATACAAATGTTTAAAAATATTTAAATGATGTTTTGATAATGATATGTTTTGTATATCAATTCGAAAATTGATTTTATTATGAAAATAAGGAGGAGATTGACATAGTACGTCACAACATAATCAACCACCCCATATGTATGCGAAATTCTATCATATTTCACCAAATATAAAATGAAGACTTGTATTTTGAATGCGACATATCATTGTAAATATTTATGTTGTTGGAGCATATAGTAATTGTTATAAAGCAACTTTAAAGTAGAATATGAGAATTAATCAAGCTTGGTAATATGGTTTTTATAGTTGAAATGAAACCTAAAAAAAATCAAGAATATTTGTGATAACCTCTAATTATAACCTAAAGGAAATTAAGCCCAAATTGTCGATCATTTCAAAAATTTATTTCCAAAAACTAAAAGCGATTTTTCAAAACGGCTTGTTGCATTAAAAAGAGGATATTTTAATTAATAATTGGTGATATTTCCACAAGGATCCTTCAAGAAATGAATTTTATAGCGAATTTTGAAAGTTATCGATGAAAATTGCAACATTGACAATTTTATCAAAACTTTAAATATTATTTTCCCAAAAACTAAAAGTTATTTTTCAAAATGTGTTAGTTCATTGGATAGAGGACACTTTTATTAACACTTTGGGAAATTTTTATACTCATATTCAAAAAAATCGATTTTATACGAATTATTAAAATTTAATCGACGGAAATTGCAAAATTCGAAAAAATTGTCGTTTATTTCAAAAATTTATTTCTCAAGTACTGAAAGTGATTTTTCAAAACGGCTTTTTGCATTAAAACGAGGATACTTTAAATAATAATCGAAAGTGATAACAGACAGTTCTGTTAGTAATGAATGTGATGATGAATTACAAGCGAAGAGAAGAAAACTAGACGAAACTGCAACAAGAGATTTGACACTTGATTTGAGAAGACTCCAACACCTAAAAGATATATTAATTCCTGTGAATGGTGGAGTAGTAAGTAATGGGTTTTTAATATCCGGCCAATGCCGGATATTTGGTAACTATCCGGTATCTGACCGGATTTTAAAAAATTGCCGGATAGGCCGGATATCCGTTCCACCACTACACCTAACCCTCGATTTACATGGTAGATATGTTCCTGGGAAATTCACTAAATATAAAGGAACAAAAAAATAATATCTAAAAGATTCGTCACTATCACTAATGGTGTTATCAGCATTTGCTTCTGAGCCCGTTTAACATTTGAGTCATTTTCTACTGGCCCCTTTTTTTTCAAACTGGAGGAGTCCATTGTGTATGATTTTTGTTGTAAATAGGAATAAATAGAAACTGTCGTCAGCTTTTTCACACAATTCGCAATATTATAAATTGTAACTCCAGGTAATGTTATAGTGTACAGGAAACACCATATTTGCTGGCCGATGATACTCAGACTAATCTTCCACTTCAGTTTTAATAAATAGCACTCCATAAATGGTCTAAGACTCATTGATATCCTCGGATCACGAGTCAGTCAAGCGATTGCAAGTCATTACCATCGCACAAATACGAAGAGCTATAACGACCTCACACAAACATTATACACCCATTGTGCAATAACTAAATTATCTCCTAATTCTAAACAAAACACTTCCCATAACATAAACTCCAAGTTTATTTACGATAAGTGAAATATGCTTCATTTTGGTGGAGTTGAACATAGCTGTTTTCTGAGGGGTCAATGATTTTAGATGAAGATTTGAATAAATTTGTAAAGTTACTTATCTTGTTTAACCAATTTTAAAAATACCTATCAAAATTCTGAAATGAGTTGAACCTAAAACTTTAAAATTCTCCAAAAGACTTAATTCAGGGTACTTAAAGCTTTCAAAGAGAAATGTGAAGCCACGTCATTGATTCGTGACAACCCAGAGCGCAAACAATACGGCAAGAAGAATTCTCTACTTCGTCGCGAGAGCCTTCGTAGCTTGCTGAATTTCTTCCACCAGTTGAGGAGCACTTGTTCTTTCACCCATTTTAAAATTGTCCGGATATCACGTTGATTTAAAACTGATGGACCGATGCGTGGTTTATTTAATACACTTATAATTCAGGTATTAATATAAATGACAGTCATACTTAACGATGAAATAATTTTATTTTTTGGTTTCTTTTTCGGCTTATATTGCCATTTTCAGGAAACCACGTTATTGCGATTTACGTTTTTAAAAAACCATAATAATTTTACTTTTCTTTTTCTCTTATTATTTGTGTTTATTTTACAATATTTCTTGTCTTTATTTAACAAATATTGTGTGTAATCCAACTTATTATTATAAACTTTCACCTTGTGATTGACCTAACTGACTTCACCTCGTGAAGATTTATAATAATAAGTTGAATTACACACAAGATTTGTTAAATAAAGACAAGGAATATTGTAAAATAAACACAAATAATAAGACAAAAAGGAAAGAAGAGAGAAGAAAATAGGATGATGACAAAGAATCTAAACACAAACATTTTTTTATAATTGTTTGGATTCTTGTTCGACTTTTGCCAACAGTTTTAGCTATTTCACCATATGATTTTCATTCATTTCTTAACTTTATTATTAAATGGCGAACTTCAACCGATATTTCTTTTCTTTCCATATTATTTTAAATAAACTAGAGACTATAACATAATCTTTTTAAACATAAAATAACTTAAATATTAATTAGAAATGTCTGTGTAAGCTCTTTTGTATCAAATGCCTAACTGAATGTTGACTTTTGTGACGTTTTGGTTTATTTGTGAGTATTCAATTTTTTGCTCTGTCTATGGAGCACTTGATTTAGATTTGTTTTATGTGGTATGGTCGTCAATAAACACAAGTAGTTTTATTGTTAGATGTAATACAAAGATGAATTTAATGGTCTTTATTGCGGTACGCTATTTTAGGTGGTGTATGTAGACTTTTGTGACTAACTGTAAACATTAGATTTATTAGATTTGATCATATTTTTCACCAAATACGTAAACACATAGATCTGCTAGGGTACGAACACTTCCGTTTTTTATAATGTACGTTCAAACCGTAAAGTGGTTGCAGTAACTTACACACCCTCTTTTATTCTCCTTGCTGAATAAACATTTCGAGCTACTCCATGTACACCTTATCTTTCAGTTTTTCTTGTACATAAGCCAAAATTATATCCATTTGATGAAAATCTCTGTATATCTATAAACAAGGATTCCGATGTTGGTAACCTAACCTATAAATTTAAAACGCTGTCAAAAATAAGAAAAATCATTCAAGGTCATTTGGTGACATTTAAAAAGCTCCTCTGAATTTAAATTTAATAATATATAAAAGAAATAATAATCGCGGCACTACTAATATATATTAATAAATTTTTAAATAAATTAACAACGATTTTTATAATTAAACCATTTTTTACAATAATAAATTTTCATTCTACGTTTAGATGGCGCTGGTAATTGTAGTTGTCAAGTTAAATTTAAAATAAATTGTTTATTTAAATCGATAACTTAAAAAATATAAATTATATATAAATAGTGAGTTTGAATAAAAAAAAGTTATATGTATTAAAAAATTTATTAAAATTAAAAATTAATTCATTTCTAAAAAGTTTTATTTATTGACGATTAACCAAACAAAATAACATTTTTTTTCTTTTAATTTAGTTCAAATGACAATTAGCTCAAAAAAACCATCGAAATCATATTTAGACGTCAATTAAACATTACATCACTCAGTTCATTCATTAAAATCATCTCATTGATTCCTTGAATCAATCGACGAATCAAATCATCGTTTTTAAACACGTCACGTTTTAATTCACCATTGCGGTGTGTTACATCAATTAATTTGCATTAATGAACAAATTAATCAATAATTAATTTATTAAATATCGAATAAATTTTTTTTGGACTTCCAAAAATGACTCATATCCTTTTTTAAATGCATGACTAAACTCGATTTTTTATACTATATTTATATAAATAAATTTTAAATGTTTTTTTATATTGTATATATTAAAAAGTGAATTGTTAGAAAAGGAAACGTCTCTTAAAACTCACTCACCGTTTTCGTTTCGTTCCGTTCGGCTACAGTCCTGTTCTCATCAATGAAATGACGTAATCGTTTGTTGATTGGTTAATACGCGTACCACGTGATTATATCGCGACGTTTTTAAAAAGGGATGGGTGTATCAAGAACGCCCTCGCTCGACGCGGTCTACCCGCCACCAGTTTGTCATTTCGTTTCAGTTTTCAATCGACTAGATCTCCTCGCGCCGTCAAGACGCTCGGACGCCCTTTTTTTACGTTTTTTAAATTCATTTTTATTTTTGACCACTGTGACAACAACAAAAAAGTGAGGTTAAGTTCATGGTTATCTCGAAGAAGTGATTGTAAAAAAAAATTTTTACGATTAAAAAAAAGATGCCGATGACCGCGGACGTGGATGTAGACTGCTGCGTGACCAGCGAATGGCTTCTGCTGCAGCTACGGGAAATCGACCAAAAATTTCTCGTCATACTCGATTGTCGCAGTTCCAACGAGTATGGAGAATCGCATATCAGGGACGCCGTTAACTTTTCGATACCTTCGATTATGTTGAGACGATTAGCTACTGGCAAAATTGATCTGGTATCAACTATTAAAAGTCGCGAATTGAAAAACAAAATATGCAGCACGTACAAAGAAAATCTTTTTGTTTTATACAATGACGATTATCAACAATATACAGATTCAGTCGTTAGTGTTTTGTTACGGAGGTTAACTCAAGATGGATGCCGTGTTGTTTATTTAAAAGGTTAGTAAAAGTTTTATTATTAATAACGCAAACGTTTAATTAACTTTCAATTTAAAGCGCATTGTTTTAAACGTTTCTTTTAAACTCATTCAAAATCTGAGGTATACAAATATTTTCTGCGTTTTAACCTCAAAATCATAAATTTTTGAGGTTATGTTCCATTATTTTCTTTTTTAATCAACCGGAAACGATTGCTTATTGATGACGGAAACTAAATTTATCTTTATCATTGCCAATTTCCCGACGTTTGATTTTATTAGTATTAGGTTATTATCGTTTCTGCGTTCGAAAAATAATTTTATTTTCCCTCTCTCTTTCTCATTCTAAAAAAACGAGACGTTTACCTTGTTATTTTTAGTATTACCGTTGTAAATGCCTGGTTATTATGAATGTATTCGGTATCTGTGAATGAAAGTTGCTTTTTTGAATGAGCTCTCTTATATTAATTGTTTCGATTCAAAATGATCGTTTTATCGCTAATTTTATTTTATTTTTAGATGATAATTCCCTCTTGTCCTAAAATAAGTATCCGATTTCGCGAAATATCAGTTACATATTTGTCACTTACGTCAAAATTGACATTTGTATGTTGTCAAAAAATTTTAACGCGCCAACTTCACGTTAATTATTTACTTACAAATCTTGTGTCGTCTTACTTATTTCATACCGATATTGCAACACAAAACAAATGGCTTAATCTAACGCAAGAAATTCCAAAGTGTGTACCATTATTTGCTAGTAATGCAGCCGCTCGATATTCTGTGTCAAAGAAGACAAAGTCGAATTTGGCATAGGAGACAGCAATCCTTACGTGAAGGGTCAGTATGTGCCAAATGTAAATTCGCGGAAATCTGGAAAAGTTCGAAAAACCGCAGATATAGAAAAGATTCATCGTCGCAGAAATATTCGATCACTGGCACATGCTATTGGAATGTCGAGAAGCACAATTCGCCGAAGTATTAAGTCTGGATTGATTAAACTTCACCTCAACGCAGTAAAACCATTCCTTATAGATTGCAATCTTTACAAATTCCTTACAAATTTCAGCTTTTGAAATACTGCTTGGCAATGCTTGATTCTGATAACATCGCTGCTAGTCAGTGCCGGATTAACGGCAACTAAGGCTCTAGGCAAAAATTGAGACAGGCTATTAAATACGATTAGTTACACCTTAATTCACGGCTAAAAATGATTTCAACGCGCTTTGCCTAAAAAAAGGAGTTGAACATAATACTACAATAATTTAGATAGTCAAAGTGGTTGAAGGCCTTTCTTTGGCTGATTTATACTACACTTATAAAAATTAAAAAAAGCGTGCGTATTATTGTACTTTTAATAAATAAAAGTGATTAAAAAATATGTATACAACATGTGTTTTAGAGGAGTGGTCTTGGTCAGCGCCGTATTAACCCATTAGCTGCCACGATCCCCATTTGGGCATTTTAGATTTTAAAGTACCTCACTTGGCGCGAAAAGTATATTAGTTGCATTTTATATCTGCTAGTCAATATTGTTTATAGCAGGCTGTGTTAACCCAACCCAAACCAACCTGCCACAATCTCCATTTGGGACTTTAGTTCTAATAAAGAAAGTTAATAAAAAGATAATTTGTATAATTATATTGTTACACAACATTTTGATCATTTTTATAACTTTTCTTGTCAGAAGTCAAAAAAATAAAAAAGTTGGCAGTTAATAGGTTAAGGGTACCTGAGATCATAGCGTAAAATCTGTGACCAAAAGTGAATACAGAAATATGATAGTGGATAAACTTCTGCCTGCATTTTGAAGCTAATAGCCGTACATCTATTTTTATTCAACAAGACAACGCTAAACTGCACTTTGATGAGAACTACAATGAAGTTATTAGCATGCATTTTAGTGCCGGTTTACATTATTCCAGTGGAATTCCAGCACTGGTTTACACTGCTTTCTCTGGACTGGAATACTGCTAGAATAATGTCAACCGCGCATAACACTAGAATTACCAACAGTTGAGACGTAGCTATTTCTACCAAAACTAGTCAAAACGAAAATGCGTAAAAATACGCATTCATACGATATTTCTTATAAAGATTGCAAATGGTGGTAGTCTTATTATTATTATAGTACCCTATATGACATCATTTCCGTGAATAATAGTTATTTATGTACCAAGTCACCAAAGTGATGCGATACAGACACTTTGCTGACGTGTTGCATACAACATTTTATCGCTAACCGCAAAATTTAACGTTATGAAGGTATTGTAACTTACCAATATTATATGACATGTGACAAACGATTTGTTTTGTTAATATATCTCGGTAAAGTTAGATTATGTATCAAAGGTTGGTAGTATAGTGGAAGGAAAGAATGATTTTGTGCATTTAGATGCACAGTTTACAAGACAGTAGCACAAAGTGTCACTTTACTGCCGCAAATAGATAGCATAAAGTATGGTTTTGCTGCCGGTTGGCGATAAAGTAAGTTCTTTGATGTACCTTGGGTCCCAGATGCCTTTTGTTTTATTAGTGATTTTTTATTGACAGCGGCAAGTTCATCTGCTAATTAAAACATAAAATCTTTTCTGGATATCTTCTCATATGTTGTTTCCTTGTATAAAATTCAAGCATTTATGCCAGCTAAATGTTTGTCGTTTTTGACTCATTGTGCTGGAAAAGAAGCTTGGCCTACTACAAATATGAGTTTCAAATTTTTCGCTTCGCAGGCTCCCCGTGTATACAATTCTCCATGGAATGCATCCATTTTTGCCTCTGTAAGACTTCTGATTCGTTGCAACATATGACTGTCAATTAGTGGGGAAAATGCGCTAATTACTTTAAATTTCATGATACTTCTTTTGGTCTTGTGGCACTCGATATGCCTTGGAATATTTTGTGCATGAGTAATCTCCCAGAAGCTGACCCTTCTCCAGTTCTCTCCCACTTGGTTCCGTCTACGGCAATTTAATTTTGACTTGTTTGTTCTACACTCTCAGTTTTACTTTCAGAACTTGAAAAAAACGCTCGACCACGTCTTCTATTGCGTACATTCAAACTGTTTTCTGACTCACTTTCTGAGGACTCATTTTCTTTGTCACTAATAGGCCTGTTTTGGTTCAAGACTTCTGTAGTTCTAAATAGTTCTGAACCTTTCTGCGCATACATTTAATATGCAATATGCGCAGAAAGAATCAGAACTGTTCTGAACTACAGAACACTTCAACCAAAACAAGCCTAAATGCCCCTATTACTGTTATTACTACAAATTTCTTTTTTCCCTGGTTTATTTCTTTCACACTCAGAGAATTCACTAACTTCGATATCAGATTTGATATGTGATTGTTGTGGTAGTTCATGCGCATTTTGCTTTGAAGTGGCGAACCAGTTCGCACATCGTGTGGATCCATCTTTATATGTAAGCATATGTTGTTTTATTAATGTAAAGTTATTATTATGTAAGAAATGTTGTTGGTAGAAAATATATTTTCATTCATAGATTTAAAAAAACATGTTTTTATTTTAAAATGGACACTTATTTTGGGTCTTAAATTTACATTAAAACTCGGACACTTATTACGGGACAGGGGGAGTACTTATTATAAAACGAATGAGATAAGGTGATGATTTTTTAAAATAATTAATCAACAGGATATGATCGATAGAAATTAATCTAATCTTTAAGTGGATTTTTTTTGTGAGAATAATCCTCAAACTAAACATTCTAATGGTTTTTATTTCTATTGTGAGTCTTGTTGATAAACCATTTTAATGAATTTTTTATCACCTAAATCATAAATGATTTATAAACACATTTTTCACGAGAAATAATTAGAAAGTATAATCTTACACGCAATTAATCGATAAAATTAATAAATTCATCAACAACAATTTTAACAATCTTATTTCAAATTCTATTTTTTTTTCTTTCATCTTAAATCTTTAATATCCCACTAGCCGAAAAATTGTTTAATTCAACAGCTATTTTAGTTCCCAGTTTGTTTATACACCAACGATTATGAGAAGAAGGCTTCAAGAGCATAAAAAAAACGAAAAATCTCCAAACGAACTAGAATCCCGGCGTATTAGTCACTGGACTATTTTCAGTTTTAAACCGAAGGAGATTTCGTTAAAATATAAACCGGAAATATTAAAAATCTAAAAAGAAAATTTTTTTTCAAAAGAATTTAAAATTTTTTCAAACAAAAAGAAAAAAAAGAAAACGAAAGTGGTGATTTAACGAGTTTTTCCTTTTTAAGTAACGTTTAAGAGTCGGATGTGGAAATGAAATCATGTTATTATTTAAAAATGTCTTAACAGTGTGTGCCTACTCTTGTTGTATATGGTAGGCGTTCAACAAACACACAAGCAACAGCCTTTACAAGGTCATTAGCACCGTGCAGACCGTTGTTTACGTTCGTGACAGGTACACTTAAAGTCTCGCCTACTTTTGCACGGATGTGCACGTGTGTTCTTCTTGTTCAGGTAATCGCTGTGTTCCATTTCTGCTTTTAAAATTATTTTAAAATTACCATCTAAAAAAAACAACCTCTTTACTCTCAACAGAAAATATTATTTTAAAAATGTTTTTCTCTTTAAAAATATAGTTGAATTTAATGATTTTTTCCTTTATGTCTTCATGGAACTGATAGACCAATAACATTTCTAAAAATAACTCATTTCAATGTATTTGTGAGAAAGTAAAACGGTTCGATAGAAAAATTTTTGAATGATTAGGTAAATTTACGCACAATATATTTGTAGTAAAAATTTAATCCTCAGCTAAAAAATATCTTTTATTTCCGTTATGTCGTGGTATTTTTTAGATGCTAAACGGGTCATGTCGCACATAACATGTATGCGCAGTGGATAAGGATTTTATGTCACAATTTTGTTACATGATACCTTTATCAACGAAAAAAATGAAGGTTATTTTAGTGGTAATGTATCATGTCGTATGTCAAAAGTTTAATGTAATATCACCATAATATCACGGTGTTCAGAAATGAACGTATATTT